GTGATATAACGAAATATAAAACCTGTTTCACGGGCTAAAAAAATTGCCCTTCATCAGGGCTCAGACTTGGTTGTTAGAGTTCCAGTATGGACTGTGATATAACCTCCCGGAAGGATATCTCAAAAATGGGAAACCAAGAAAGTATGTGGCAGTCAATGGCCCGGCAATAGAATTCCCAGTGTCAGGAGCCAGTCGGATTTAAATCACCGGCATCGGGAACACCATTGCATAGCCACTAAGCTCCACGTTGAAGGGAAATGTATGTTCCTCGTCCTCCATTCTATTTCTATTTTATATTTTGTCTAGATAATTAAATGTATAGATGTGCATGCCAGCTATATGTACGTGCTATAGACCTGCACCCATGTATTTTTTCAAATCTAGTTCTGCTCAAGGCATGAAAACTAACCAATTATTTCTTTGTACTAACAGCACCTGTTTCTGCCATGATCTAGTTAAAAGTCAATTACTTCTGCTCCATGGGAAAATAAGTGTTGGTTACTTGTAACTGATTCAAGGTCTGAGAAATCTAAATTGTTCACGTTCACAGCCCTGACAAGTATCCAGTGAAATCCTATTCTATGGTTTTCTTTGTTACAATATGAGAAGAAGAATCTATGAATAAAGTTTCAGATTGCTGTCTGGAAGGCTTTGTGTGTGCGTGAAAATGTCTTCCTTGTAGAGAGTAGTCTCTTGGATCCAACGTGGGCCGAAACCTGCCAGCGGTCATTAAAGGAAAATCCCTTTCACACGTGTCTTCTTGTTTTCTCCTTTCGAGTGGTTATACCACAGTCCATATTGGAACCCTGACAACCAAGTCTTAGCCCTGATGAAGGGGGATTTTTAGGCCCCTGAAACGTGTTGGCTTTTGGCTTCTTTCTTTTCTACTGGTTGTGACCTTATTGTCAAAAATAAATTATATATAGACTTTTGAAATGGACATTGAAATCTGACCTTTCATTCACACAAATCCCCGCACAGCACTTTGTGTTGTCCAAGCATCTGAGAAGAACATCTACGTGTGTGTGTGTGCGTGTGTGTGTATATATATATATTCCCAATAACATAAAAACCCTCAATTAATGTGAAAATTGTGCTAAAAAATATATAAATCACTCATGCAATTATGTCAAAAATATCCTGCTGCCACATTGAATTATTAAACACATACAAAAAAAATATTTCAAGCAAAAAATGTTTGCAGAGCATACATAAATATTAATTAATAAAATGTAATAAAAAAATATCAAACAAAAAATATATATAGAAGTTCAAATAATTCAGTCCATTCCTGTGATCACCACGTGAAAAAAATCATATAGAATGAATCAAAACAACTCACTTCGATCATCCAATAATCACCACGTGAATAATTGTGCCAAAAACAAAATATAAATCTGTGTGGTGCCCCCCTCTCAGGTGTGCACTCACCAAAATGTATTGCATCCCACTCTTATGGTTGGCGTATTGAGCTTCGGTATATATTTCTTCAGGGACAGGGTCTCCCCTAAGGTTGCAGTACTGGGCTTCTATAATGACCGTTCCCGATCTCCAGGGTTAAAAGAAGATTCCCTACAATAATCCAGTCATATATCACATAGAAGATAAAAAAAAACGGAAACCCCACAAAGAATCAAGCCCAAAGATGTTTATATCTCTAATATTCCAGAGAGAAAAGACCGAACAGTGCTCTCACCACCGCCGGCCCTTGCTCTCAGACGCTCCTACATCAATAAGCAGGAGGGATCATTACTATTCACCAATTAGAATCTTCGGTTAACTAATGGAACACACTATAAAGGTGTGATGCCACACAGCACGGCCATACTCTATGAATAAGTCGGAAGTGACGAAACGCGCCAGTTTAGGCTCTGTGGCGACCAGAAGTGATGCAGACCGGAACCGGAAGTGACGCGGGAGCGTCTGAGAGCAAGGGGACCTTGTGTTCTAACTACCCCTCTGTGCCTTATAGTCATCTGTGGGTTTGTTAAAGGGGACACTGGCTGGACGTCCGATCGGCTGCACTCCAAACAATCCACTCTATTGAACCAAAATCAAACCAATACAGACAGTGGAAATACAGTGGGGGGACTGACAGGTAAACGCGTTTCACACTAAAGAGAGCGCTTATTCATCACCCAGTCGACCCATGTACAAAGTGTTGGGTTTAAGCACTAGCAACAGCAAAAGCTGTTCCTCCTAATCAGCACTGGGTCCACCTCTTGCTACACCAAACCGATTTAAAGGTAAAGACAGTTCTGCAACTAACAACAATTTTAACATCCCCAAAATGGGGCCTTGTGAGTACAGACACTGAGAGATCTTGGGAACCTTGTGTTCTAACTACCCCTCTGTGCCTTTATAGTCATCTGTGGGTCTGTTAAAGGGGACACTAGCTGGTGTCCTGAAGAGCTCTGTTCAGATAATCTACTATTAAAAGGGATGAGAACAATGGACGTCCAATCGGCTGCACTCCAAACAATCCACTTTATTGAACCAAGATAAAACCAATAAAGACAGTGGAAATACAGTGGGGGGACTGGCAGGTAAACGCGTTTCGCGCTAAAGACAGCGCTTTTTCATTATCCAGTGGACCCATGTACAAAGTGTTGGTTTTAACCACCAGCAACAGCTGTTCCTCCTAATCAACACTGGGTCCACCTCCTGCTACACCAAATCGATTTAAAGGTAAAGACAGTTCTGCAACTAACAACAATTTTAACATCCCCAAAATGGGGCCTTGTGAGTACAGACACTGAGAGATCTTGGGGACCTTGTGTTCTAACTACCCCTCTGTGCCTTATAGTCATCTGTGGGCCTGTTAAAGGGGACACTGGCTGGTGTCCTGAAAAGCTTTGTTCAGATAATCTACTATTAAAAGGGACTTGCTCTTGTGGCTCAACTATTACTTAAAGTTCCGGTCTCTCAAAAAAAATTAAGTCAGCAGCTACAAATACTGTAGCTGCTGACTTTTACTATAAGGTCACTTACCTGTCCAGGTATCTGGTGATGTCTGTACCTAGTCCAATTTCCTAATCGGCTTCGGGTGCAGTCACCAGCATCTTAACTAAGGGGAACTGGCCAGGAAGCCTCACAGCTTCACGGCTGGTTTCCTACTGCACATCAGCTGTGCTTTGTGATTGGTCCCGCAGTCTTCTGCAACTTGTGATGTGTCCCAGAAGGTTTCGGGGGTAAGGAGGAGGGGCCCGAGATCGCCGCTGCGAATTCAGCGGGAAGTGGGAGTGGATACCTGTCAAAACCAGATACCCAGTTCCCCACGCCCCAAAAAAGTGCCAAATTAGGCAGTGGAGGGGGGAAGGATACCAACAAGTGGAACTTCCCCTTTTGGGTGGAGTTCCGCTTTAACCTGAAGTCTATTGTTCATTTCAAGCCCGGACTTTATTATAGCTTGTTCTAAAAGGAAGATCAAGTCCTCAATTTCTACATAGTTCTTATCTTTGGAGTATCTCGCCACTTCCCTCAACCCTATCCAAGTTCTTCAAAAATTTAAAAACAACATCCCCTAGACTGGTCTTTGAAGAAAGAACGAATGAGCCTGTTGTTTGCCTGGCTGTGGGGCAGAAGTTTGGGAAGACCTGGACAGTAATCCTGCTGCTCCTACGGGAGTCACTTTCTCTCTCTCTCTCTCTCTCTCTCTTTCTTCTTTCTGCGCGCTCTCTCTCTTCTTCGGCTCAACCACTGGGTTTTACCATCCCCCAACTGCTAGTGTGAAGGAGCCCTTAATCTGAACCTCTGACATGGAGAGCAAAGAAATGATTTCACTTTAGTGGCATTTTCATCAGCTTTAAGCCTAGTACACTTGGGCCGAATGACTGGCAGCATTGGTTGGTTCAATAGAAACCAGCCGACATTCAACCCATGTGTACGACAGCTGGTCTGACAGAAGCCGGCCATTTTGGCCAGTTTCTGTCAAAGGGGCATGACCGAACAAGGTCTGCCAATCGGCTCAGTGATGGCTGAGAGCACTGACCAGGGTGTTCTGGTGGATGGGACCGGCCCCCCTGTCAGAACACAATAGCACAGCGCGGGAGATCGCTGTACTAACATTGAATAGTTAGTACAGTGGCTCTACCTACTGTCAGGTTTTTTTCATTTAGACTGCTGGGTTGAACTAAAAAAGAAAACTAGTAGTGTGTACCAGGCTTTAAATATTATTTAGCTTCCATTCATTCTTCTTGCATTCTGTTTGGCCGTCCAAGTCTAAGGACTCCATGGGACAGCGCTGGTGCCAACCACCAGCACTATCATGCCAGGGGGCCGGTCATAAGCATCCAGGGCATTCTCCACCCCACAGCCACACAAATACATATCCTTTGTATACATGCGGCTGCAGGGTGGGGAATGCCCTGGTGGCAGATGGTTGGCCCAGTACAGTGACAGCTTCCTGGTAGGCTTGCTTAGATGGATTGAAACTAGGATCCGAACACGCCAGAGCTCACCACTTTTCACCATATCCATCATTATCCTATCGTATTATCTTTATTCTTCCTTTCAACCACAAATGCATGATCTTCACCTGAGAAAGGTGTCTGCACCACGAGAAAGGATTATGTCCAGGACAAGGTGCTCTCAGACAGCTCCGAGGATGCTGATAAAGACTAAATGTAGGTTCCATTTTTTTTTTTATTTGGCATCAAAAATGCCTTGGGTATATGGAGAGGTGTCACCCAGGCACATGTAAGTGTCCCCATGGGTACAGGATATCATGGAAAAGCAGTATACAATGTCCACACTGTTTCTTTGTGTGTTTGGAGGTAACACTTTGTGCTATATCTGTGTTATTATAATTTTACAAATCACCCTTATTTTCTGATCTAGAGAATTTGGAGTTTAGAAAGACACAAGGACCCATAGAAGGATGTAATGATGGAGAACTGGCCACCCCTCGTATCACCGGGTAAGAGGATTCACCATACACACATCCTCTAATATAAAGACTAAGAAACAATGTATTCAGTCAGTGTGTGTGTTTACTACAGATGCATCCAGCAATGAGAACCCACCAGAGAGATGTCCCCATCCTCTGTATTCCCGGGACTCCACACAGGAACATCAGGAGATCCCTCAGGAGGATCAGGTAGATGGCACCAGGAGTCTTGTTAAATAGTTAACTAATGTATTTTATTTAATCTGATCTGCATGTTGTCTTAATATATTTACCCAAAATATTATACAGGGCCATCCCAGGCAATATATAGTAGCCTACGTATTTTTTTTTTATTGTCCAGGATGAAAATATGATTGCCATTAAAGCTGTAGTGAAACAAGAAGCAGAAGAGTTGTATGGGATGGGTGAACATCCATGTAAGGAGGAGATCCCTCCAGAGATCAGCCCAGGTGAGTAATAAAAGAGCAAACAGGAGGCGCAAACCCCTAGTGCATTATCCAAGGTTTATTTGAAAGTGAAAAAGAACGAAAACATACTCACAAACATAGCATGTATGTAAAACTTTGTAAGAAGGTAGAGATGGCCATAACAATGGCAGCATGTCCGACTGTCAGTGTGATATCGTTTGTGCAATTATACATCATTATCTTCTTTCTTCCCCTGAGTATTGGTCCTGCACGAGAGACCACCTTGCAGCTATCCTCCCATGGTTGGCCTCGGGGGAAGCGCGGTGCATCTGGCCAGATAAAGCAGTATCTGGCCGGGCACTGCGGCCTCTACCGCCAGCCCCGGTTGTGACATCAGGCGCTGACGCACTTCAGGTCATGTCCGTGGAGCGTGTGGAACGCAGGGGTTTGCGCCTCCTGTTTGCTCTTTTCCAGTTGTTGGTTTCCCTATCTGAGGAGGGCTGCATCTCCGATACGCTATCCATAGGCCACTTTGATCCTGATTCCCCTGGCTTTCCTTTGGCAATTGATCCCTGGAGCTGGAACATACTGTTGTCAGGTGAGTAATAAACACTAAATCCAGAGAAGAGTCCCAGATCCTTCTTGTTCAGTCACTACAACAATCTCTTCGTCTCCCCCCTCCTCTGTCAGTAGACAGTAATGGGGGGACAGTATGTGCCCAGTGGGGGGGTCAGGAGCCATCAGCCTCTATTAGATTCCGTCTCTTCTCCTCACATCATGTCATTGAGACGTGACCAGTCTCCTCCCCCACATACACTCTCTGGGGTCTCTCATACATCTCAGTACAGGGGGCTTCACTCTCATCTTTATTAACAGACACCGGAGCAAATCAGAGAGACATAAAAGCTGAGGAGGAGGAAGAAGGATGTGTGAGGATTAAAGAGGAGGAAGAGTCCTATTTGAATGATGAGGAGCGATGCAAGGAGGAGGAAATTCCTGTAGAGATCAACACAGGTGAGTAATAAACAATAAATACACAAGGAATTCAGTGTCATTATTTAGCTGGAAGAAGGAGAGCAAGTCCAGGAGCCAATCAAGTGTTAAATATGCTAACAAGGAAGATGCTGATAGGGAGAGAGGGCAGAGTAAGAAAAAATATGTCCTGATTAGTGAGCTGCTGTTTATTCACTGCCAAGTCAGCTGGATGGTGGAGTGGATGACACCCCTGTATTCTTAACTGCAACAAAGTGACTGTGCTGTAGGGTAGAACTGTGCAAATCTCAACTGGTAGGACAGAAAAAAAATCCTGTGCAAAGTAAAACAGCCCCATTATATGTATTTAATGTGTGTATTTAACTGATTGCCCTGTGTTCAGATATAATGCTTTAGCTCTTATTTGAAGAATTGTAGCAAGCAAACTTAAAGTATATATAAACCCTCATCTTTAAAAACCATCCATGCAGTTTGAAATAGAAATGAAAGGCCAAATGTTTATGCATACATAGAAAAACATTATAAAAACCTTACTCCCCCCCCCCTTTTTTTAAGTGATCACATAATCTGTTCTCTGCTGCATAAGGATCTTAGAGAGGTGGGGGGAGGAGAAACAGTAGAAACTGATCTTCCCTGTGAATGGCTGTGCAATAGTGGGGGGTTATCAGCACAAGTCTAATCATTGGAGGAGAGCAGGCTGGGTACTCAGCACAACCAGAAAACTGACTCTGTGCTCTCATGACTAGTGTTGTCAGTTTTTAATAGGAAAGCAGAGGGACTGGCAGGAACACCAGGGATTTTGCATAAAGGAAGCAACACAAAGAGAGCAGGATACTTTTTCATAGAAGTACATGGTACAGCAGGCACATATCAGGTATATGAAATGCTGGGTTTACACATTCTTTAAAACAACCTTTTTTCTTGGACTAGAAAAATTATATATTCCATGTTGGGTCATGCAATTTTTCATTCCTGAAAATCAGTTCAGTGAGTCTTATTCCTCCTCTATGGCTTGTTTCTTTCAGACGGACGCTACATTAGGTTTGACATGGAGCAAAAACCAGTTGACTCACCTGATGATGAAACGCAAGAGGATGAAGCCACCTCTGATTCTTCAGAAGAAAATTTAATTACCCCAAATGTCCATCCAGCATCTCACAGTGTAGAGCTGTCATCCAATACCTTTACATATGGGGGGATCACCCCAAGTCCCGTCACTCATCACACAGCTCTCGAAGGGAATAAAATATTAATGCATTTGGAGTCTGTTAAACGATCTACCAAGAGAGCAGAAGGCAACCCAACCCAGAAGCGTCGTACTTGGAAGAAGCAGTACCGATGTGTCGAATGCGGAAAATGCTTTAAACAGAGGTCAACTCTTATCACACACGAAAGAGTTCACACAGGGGAGAAGCCATTTTCATGTTCTGAATGTGGTAGATGTTTTAAGCAACGGTCAACGCTTATCACGCATGAAAGAGTTCACACGGGGGAGAAGCCCTATTCCTGCTTTGAATGTGGGAAATGTTTTTCGGATAAATCCACCCTTGTTCGGCATGAAGTGGTTCACACAAGAGAAAAGCCGTATTCTTGTCCCGAATGTGGTAAATGTTTCTCCCATAAATGGTATCTTATTTCTCACAGAAAAATTCACACGGGGGAGAGGCCATTTTCCTGTCCGGAATGTGGGAAGGGTTTTCCTGTGAAGGACAGACTCACAAGGCACCAGATGAGTCACACTGGGGAGAAGCCTTTCCCATGTTCCGAGTGTGAGAAGTGTTTTGCTGACAGAAGCAGTCTCAGGAGACATCAAAAAAGCCACACTGGTGATAGACCATTTCCATGTTCCGAATGCGAGAAGTGTTTCATTCACAAGTCGGCACTTGTGCAGCACCAGAGAACTCACACAGGGGTAAAGCCATATTCGTGCTCCACGTGTGGGAAATGCTTTAGACAGAGATCGGTTTTTGTGGCTCATGAGAGAATTCACACAACTGAGAAACCAGTTGCTTGAGTGTGGGAAAGGTTTTGAAAATCTTGAAAATATCCTATGAATGAAATGTTGATGTACACCATACAAGTTATATACTGGCAAACTGACCATCACATCTACCATATGGCCAAAGTCATGTGGACACCTGATCTTTTCATTGAAAGGTACTGATAATGCTGCAGCATAAAAACATCTAAACAATTGTGCACTTCCAACCTTGTGCCAACAGTTTGGTGGAGGTCCTATTCTGTTCCAGCAAGACAGCACCCCTGCAATAGGAAGAAGGGTCAGCCGCACACCGGAGGATTGATGAATATTGTGTTTATTTATTGATCCATAGGACACACAAAACACTAGGACATGAATACAGGACCTGTTAACGCGTTTCACATGATCTCGTGCTTAATCATAACCAAACAGCACCTCTGTACATAAATGGATGCAAATCGACATGGTTTGATGACTAGTTTGGTGAGGAGAAACGGGTAACCTGCACAGAGGACAGACCTTACCCCTACTGAACACCTTTACGATGAATTTAAATACCAAGTGCAAGCCATATTCCAACATCAATACCTGAACGCACAATTGCTCATTTGGTTAAATGGCCACAAATTCTTGTGGGAGGCACTCCTAAAGCAGTGGAACCTGTTATAGCTGAAAAGTGGAGTGGTTTTGGAATGGGATGTCCAACAAGCTCATATACAGTCATGGCCAAAATTATTGTCCCCACTGCATTTCTGTCAGATAATGCACCTCTTCACCCAGAAAATGGTTGCGATTAAAAAATGTTTATTTCTTTTAATTGTATTGGTAAGACACAAAAAGTAGAGAAACAAAAAGCAAAATCTGACACATACCACGTAAAACCTCAAAAATGGACTGGACAAAATTATTGGCACCTTCGCGAAATTGAAAGAAATAATTTCATTCCAAGTACGTGATGCTCCTGTAATTAAACTCACCTGTATCAATAAACAGGTGTTGACAATATAGAAATCACACTGACAACTGGTTAAAAAGGTGAAAAATTGACTCAAACTTTCTGTTGTGTGTCTCTGTGTTCCACATAGAGCATGGAGAAGAGAAAAAGCAGAAAAGAATCATTTGAGAACAAAAATTGTGGAGACGCATGGACAATCTGAAGGTTACAAGTCCATCTCCAGAGATCCTAATGTTCCTGTGTCCACTGTGCGCAACATTGTCAAGAAATTTACAGCCCTAATGGACAAAAGAGAAAAATATATCAAAGATTGCAATGAAGGATTTATCGAATGGTGGATAAAGAACCTCGATCAACTTCCAGACAAATATATAGTGCTGGTCAAATGTGTTAAACATACAAGGTGCTTATCCCAAAATTGCAGAGCCATAAAAAACATACAGAGAAGAAAAAGGGACTTTTTGAGCACCAGAACTATGGAAGAAAAAAAGATCTTATATAAAAAATACAAATTTATTTAACATAGTACATCATTGATGCATGTTCAATAAATTTGTATTTTTTTTTATATAAGATCTTTTTTTCTTTTGTAGTTCTGGTGCTTAAAATGTCCCTTTTTCTTCTATGTATGTTTTTTATGGCAACTTCCAGACACAAAATCAAGCTGACCTTCAGGCACAGGGTACAACTGTATCGACACGCACTATATGTCACAATCTGAGTGAATCCCTATACTTTATGGTAAGAGACCCAGGAGGACCCCACTGCTGACACAGAAACATAAAAAAGCAAGATTGAAGTTTGCCTAAACTTACCTGAGGAAGCCAAAATCCTTTTGGGAGAATGTGCTGTGGACAGACGAAACAAAATTTACAGCTTTTTGGTAAAGCCCATCATTTTACTGTTTTCATAAAAAGCAATGAGGCCTTTAAAGAAAAGAATTCAGTCCCTCCAGTCACACATGGTGGAGGGTCACTGATGTTTTGGGGTTGCTTTGCTGCTTCAGGCACCGGATGTCTTCACCGTGTGCATGGCATTATGAAATCTGAAGATCACCAAAGAATTCTGGGGTGCAATGTAGGGCCCAGTGTCAGAAAGTTAGGTCTCCAATGTCAGAGGTCATGGGTCTTCCAGCAGGACAATGACCCAAAGCACATGTCAAAAAGCCGCCAGAAATGGTTTCAGACAAAGCGCTGGAGAGGACTGAACTGGCCAGCAATGAGTCCAGATCTCAATCCCATAGAGCTCCTGTGGAGAGATTTCACAACAGCAGTTGGGAAGAGGAACCCTTTCAATCAGAGAGACCTGGAGCAGTTGGCAAAAGAAGAGTGCTCCAAAATTCCAGTAGAGAGGTGGAAGAAACTCATTGATGGTTACAGGAAGCCATTGATTTCAGTTATTTTTTCCAAGGGGTGTGCTACCAAATAATAAATTAAAGGTGACCAATAATTTTGTCCATGTTTGGGATTTTGCATGGAATGTGTCAGATTTGGCTCCAAAATATCTCATATTTTTGTGTCATACCAATACAAACAAAAGAAATAAACATGAGAATGCATTAACATTAGTAATTGCAAAAATTTCCCGGCGAAGTGGTGCATTATCTAACAAATTCAGAAGGGACAATATTTTTGGGCCATGACTGTAGGGGCGTTGGTCAGCTTTCTACCAACCTATAAACGTATGCAAGAGAATTTGTTCCATCTCTGTGTATCACCTGAGGTCATTCACTTCACTGGGTATATGGAAGGGTTTACAACCACTTTAAGCCAGCCATAGATGGATTGAATCTCAGCTGGTTCAGCAGGGACCATTTGAGGTTCAGTCCATCTATAGGTAGGCTGGTTGTGCTGAAGTTGATCCATTGATCGACTGTACAACCAGCCTGTTGGATTTTTTTGCAAGCAAATACTGCCGGCAGCTATAACCGCCGCCAGCGAGCATTGTGTTATGCTGGCAGGGAAGGCAAAAGAACACAATAGCGCTACGGGAGGGATTCCCCCATCAGCACTGACTGTGTTGATGGAGGAATCAAGCAATTTTCTTTCTTGCAACCAAAGAAAATCGCATCATCAATGGCTTGCTTTAGACAAACTCAGGGGTGATCAGATGTAAAGCTGATCATACACGTGTAGATTTTCGGACGAGAATATTCCTACGAAAAGTTGTACGAAAATTCTTTGAAGATTCGGTGAGTGGACGAATATCGTTCGAAAATTGTCTTTTGCTTTTAACATTCAGGTTTAAAATGAATGTAATTTCTGAATGATAACCACATATACTGGCCAAAAATTTGTTTGATCAAGACAGGTTTTCCTTTCTGCCCCTTCGACTGTGGTCGAAAAAACCCATTGATTTGAGCCCACTAATGATTAGAAAATCAAACTAATTTTCTTGAAACGAAAATTCTCAAATGAAAATCTTTACATGTATGGCCAGTTTTAGAGGGATGCAAACTCTTTAACATCTATCTGCTCATAGACTAACACTGAGCTTCCATTTAGACATTCAGATCCACCTGAAATCAACAAGGAGATCTGCTCAGAATGCTCGCTTGCATTAGGGCTCATTCACACTTGGCTGTTTTACCAACGCTTGCCAAACGCCTCTATAGCATTTGGCAAGCATTGGTCTGGCGTTTGTGGAGCGTTTTTTAACGCTCGGCAAACGCTCCGCAAACGCCGCATGCGCGGTTTAGTGGCGGTTGCTAGGCGTTTGCCGAGCGTTAATAACGCCCCACAAACGCCTATAATACAGTTTGAGTGGTGTTACCGCTCCGCAAACGCCCCGAGAGGCACCATAGACGAGAATAGAAGGCTTCAAAGCCTCCTGACTCGACCAGAGGCGTCCGTTTTGCCGCGACGCGACGCAAACGTTCCCGTTAGAACAGAACCATGTGCTGTAATGTGCAGAATTGGCAGAGGTGTTTGGGAAGCAGTAAAAACGCTTCCCAAATGCTTCTCTGCCGCCTGCACACAAGGCTAGTGTGAACGTAGCCTTATTGCTGCTGGATTTTCTCATTTATTCAATATCCCGGAGACGGTTTTTCACAAGAATGGACTGGCAATAAAAGTCTCTGAACTAGGTAGCACAAATTTAAAAATCCATCCAAATGGAGAGGAACCTTGAATCCAGGCTTTTCAGGTACAGTTTCCGACTTGTTCTCACCATTTTGGAAACAAGCTTTTATGGTATGGAAATGTTAGCACAGATGCTGTCACTCCTGAAGTTCAAAACTTTTCTCTTCAGGGGTGAAGCTACACTTCAGGCAGATGTAAAAGGTCACTGTTTAAACTTGCTATGTATTTATTAATTTTTACATGTATTTTTGTGCCAATAATTTTTATTAAACGATTTTATGTACCAATGATGATATGAAACATATGGCCAGCCCTTAATTGCTAAAGGATATAGGATATAACTGCAAAACTAGAAGACTCTTCTCATACGTTAATCCAGTTCTCACAAATTCATGAAATCATTCACGGCCTTGCATCTCCCTTCAGATCGGGGAAATCTTCAACCTGCTCTAAAAACACCTCTGACACTACTTCATTTAAAAAAAAATCTAATAAAATATTCAGAAAATAACAGGCAAGTAACTATCTTAAAAATGATCAAGGGAAGTACTCCTTTAGCAAATAGGGCCTGTCATGCTTACTCATTGGGCAGGTGGGCAGACACTAGAGCTGGCTGTAACGGAACCGGACCGGGACCGCACTTGGGTATTTCTGTTAGACTCCAGCTTCCCTGTCCGAACACAGATCCACGGACACCACTGCTGACCAAACAGGACGAGACAGCACCAGGCTTGTACGAAAGACAGGAAATAGACTGCTTTATTTTAACATAGATACAAGATATATACACAGGGCGGGGAAATACACACCCAGACAGGAAACACATCAGCAGGCAGTCCCATCAGGGGGAAGGGCTGCCAGAAACATTACATCCCATCCCAAGCAAGACACACAATAGAACAATGGGATATACCACATGGCAGTAGACAATACACAACTCCATACATCCCATAATAGTTTGCTTGAAAGCAAGACACATAATAGAACAATGGGACAAC